CTAAACCCCTGAACTCTACACCCTAAACCCTAAACCCTTACCCTAAACCCTAAACTCTACACCCTAAACCCTAAACCCCTAAACCCTAAACCCCTGAACTCTAAACCGGCGGCCGTCCTCGAAAGCGGCTGCGCAAGCGGCCGCCTCCGGATCCGGGCTCCAACTCACGCGCGTCCACGTTTTCTGGGAGCCGTCTCCTTAGCCACGGTTAAGTTTTTTTTCCCGGGTTTAGGGTTTAAGGTTTAAGGTTTAGGGTTTAGGGGTCTCCTTAGCCACGGCTAAGGTTAAGGTTTAGGGTTTTAGGGCTTATACGGTTTAATCAGGTTTTGGGTTTTAGGGTTTTAGGGCTTATAATCAGGGTTTAATCAAGTTTCGGGTTTAGGGTTTAGGGGTTAGGCTCAGGAGTTTAGGGGCGCGGCTTGGGGTTTATGGAGGTTCCTTAACTTAGTCGCTTCATGTCTTCATAGCGTTTCCCACCCGCAGAGCGGCCATCATGGTTAGGGTCCATGTAGGCACCTCATAATATCAGGGCGTTCATAACAAGAATCTGGCTGTTGCGACGCCAAGGGGACAAGGGAATAGTACAAACATATATGTAGTATTGAGACCCCAAAATGTAGGGTTCCGGGAAAGCCATGGTCTGGGGAAGTGCCGAGAGCGTGGGATTGGGGGTGCAGAGTTGGGGGCTTCGGCCCCTTCATTGTTTCAAGACATGGCGGTGAGAGCTCAGGGTCTCGGGTTTCGGTTGCTTTAAGCCTCAAAGACTGGACACAAGAAGAAGGGGACTTAGGGCTCATCTTAAGTCTTAATTAAGCACCCCTACCCCCAAGAAAAGTAGGAGCTTCAGAAAACAAAGGTCCGGACCCTTGACCCGACCAGTAGGGTTTAGGGTTTAAGGTTTAGGGTGCGGACCCCTGGCAAAAGCCTCACGTCAACAAACCCGAAAAAATAAGCTTGGCTGCTGGAGCCTGCAGGCGCTGCAGCATCCTCGGGCAGGTCCTTGGAATCCAGATGGAATGTTGGAGATTAGGGTGCTAGTACGATTTTTGTGCGTCCCGGGTTATTCTGGGCTTTTGATTAACACTTCGAGGCGTTGAGGGCATAAGGCCTGGAATCTGGGCCTGGCCGAGTCTGTCGCGCCTGCGTCACCCCTCTATGTAACGGTATACCGTCTTACCAGAATATGTCGCAGTTCCAGTTCAAGCTTGTTCTGCAGCAATCTAGCAGCATACTTTGCTAGGTAACTCTGTAACACGACACGGGCTTGGACAAGTACCCTGAAGTGCCACCTGGCGTGAGTGGTTGCACTACCTTGTTTACAGACATGCGGACTTATGTCTCGTCAGCGGATATCGGCTGTAACTCTGTCGCATTGCTCCTGCCTGCATCCAAAGGCGTCGGCGTCACTATCCAACCCAAAAGATTTTTGTCTACGCTCTCACTCGGTTCGCGGTCGGATGCAGGCTCCGGTTCAGGGTTTCAGGTTGCGACACCCGAGCCCAAACCCGATATTAACCCAAGTCCGAAGTCCTTCACGATCAACCCAGAACGTATCACCCTCCAGCCCATTTTCCTGCAGTCATAGCGAAACTTGCGACACATAACTTGGTTCGGGGAAAGCCAACAAAAAATGCTTCAGGTACATGCACTTCACCACGGGGAAAGAAAGCGAAATGGAACCTTACAGAGTGGAGCCCTGCCTGACCTGCGTACCCTTTGACGGGTTTCGGGCAGTTTAAGGTTTACGGGTTTAGGGAGAGACTGGACTTGCTGGATACCCGAAAAGTACCATCGTCAAGCCTCTTGGCCTCTTGCCCAAGAGGGGTAGGTGTTGGAGGTACACAGGGTCAACGGGGATACTATTACTACTTGTTCAGACCGCTCATATAAGTTCCTAAACCCTAAACTCTAAACCTTAAACCCTAAACCCCAGAAGCGCTAGTAGCTCCTCAAGGCCCTCGACACTTCACAACGGAGCAAAAAACGCCGAGGATCAGGGCTGTAGATGCTGGAAAGAAGCCGCAGCTCCTGAGAGGCGATAAAGGAACCTTAATGCTTAGGACAGAGTTTGGTTTAGGGTTTAGGATGTAGGGTTTAGTTCCTTTTACAGGGTTCTAAAAGGGTTACTATCACTCACGCTTACTTTCAGGTTTAACATAGGGTTCTTAACATTTAGAATAGATGGGGATTGTGAAGCATACTCCAGTTTGAAGGTTACGGGAACTATGAGAGTATACCATCACGAACTATCCCGCTAAGCTGCGGGCTTACACGAAGTTGACTGAGGATTGGGGACTTTTGGGGGGGGTCCGTTTAAGGTTTAGATTTCAGGGTTTTGAGGCGGGTTTGCGGTACCGACTCTGGGTCTGTTTCAATGGGCTTAGGGTTTAGGGTTTAGGGTTGGGGGTTTAGGGTCTAGGGTTTAGGGAGATTCATGCCAAGCACCAGCTCCAAACGGTGCTTCTCCACCTGCGCGGCTGGTTCTAATTCGAGCTGCTTTAGGGTGTCCGTCTCGTTGCTGTGACTTCCTCGGGGGATACAGACAGGGAACCCATTGGTCGAAAGGTCAACGAACACCTTGAAGGCTTCTGAAACCTCAAACACCACCCTAAACCCTCAACACCCCTAAGCCCTTAACCCTAAACCGCACATAGAGATTCTTGGAACAGTCCCCACCTGCTTTCTGTTCTTCATCGCTCCGTCGAAGAAGCTGGCTGTCCTCACTTGGGCTCGGTGAGCTTCTTCGGGGTGGTTGCGTTGCGGCTTCGTCACTTCTCTGGGCTTGTTTAGGCTGCCAGGGCCAGACTGGCAGATGGGTTTATGGCTCGTAAGCTTGTAGCCTTTATGCCTTTTATGCCTTTCCGGCTGCATCCACTGATGCAGACCGTCCAGGGCCCAGGGGTTCAGGGGTGTGACGGCCTGAACCACTGGAGCTGGGCTCAAGAACACAAGGGCTACGGCATTCACAACAAGAGTTCGGTACATATTTTTTTGGACCCATAATTACTATCAGCCACAAGGTAGAAAGAGTAAGGGGGCCGGTGCATCTTAAGCCCGAGGAGCAGGCCCAGAATTCGAGGCCGCTGGCTTTCCGGCGCGTGCTGCACGAAGTCTGCCATGATCGCGGCCATGGGATGGTTGCCCTGAAGGCGGGAGCTTCAGAAGAGGCACCCTCAGGGGCTGTCTGCGTAGGTGGGGGCCGGCGTTCAAGGCTTGCAGATGGATGGAAATTCAAAATACAGTAGGAATCCTTCTTCTCAGCACCACCCAAGAAGGCACCTCGGAATATTCAGAAACTCCCACAAGGAGCAACAGGTCGAGGGATGAGACCGGATGATAGAGGGGTTGCTTCGAGGACGCTCGCCTGACTGTCCGGCTGAAGGTTCACGGCCTTGTTGACTTAGGGTTTGGGGTTTAAGTTGACCAAACCCTAAACCCTAAACCCTAAGAACCCTAAACCCTAAACCCCTAAACCCCTAAACCCTAAACCCTAAAACCCTGAACCCCAAAACCTACTAGGAATAACCAAACCCGCAAAGCCCCAAACCGAAACACGGTTTGCCGGGCCTTGGCCCGATGGCACTCGTCGAAGACAAGCAGGGACCTCGGGGGGTGGGATCCGGGCACAGGACCAGTTTAGGGTGTAGGGTTTCGGGTTTAGGGTCTAAGGCTGTAGGGCTTTAGGGTTTTAGGGTTTAGGGTTTTAGGGTGTAGGGTTGAGGGTTCTCAACCCAAAGTGGGGCCGCATGCCTTCAGCAGAACCGCTCCGACCAGAAAGTTCCTCTGCAAGCCCTGCTCACGCAATACCGAACCCCTCAACACCCACAGGGTTTAGGGTTTAGGGTTTTTTCCCAGGGTTTAGGGTGTATGGTTTAGGGACAACCCCCAAACAAACCTGAAACACCAACCCCCTCACGCCGTCATCCCCTTGACACCCAAACACAGAACTCTGGCTTCACAGCTGCACCTCAAACCCCAACCCCCTGCAAACTGGAAGCAACACCCCTCAAGACCCAAACCCTGTTTGAAAACCACGCTTGAATATGTGAGCTACAGCTTTTGAATTACCAAGCATATTACTACCACGGGCACACAAAGTAAGTTTGAAGCCCTATACAACCCTTCTTACCGTCTTACAACATCCTAAACATCTGTAGAAACACTGCAAACCCTGCCAATCCCGCTACGAGTCTGTTTCTCCCCAAATTCAAGACAAGCAGCAGTTGCGCGACCTGCAGAAAGCCCTGGTCCATGGCGCGCCGGAAGATCTCTGGGGTACCAACCAGTACCTGCAAGAGCGAAGAGCCGCGGCTCCTTGCCTTTAGGTGGGTACATGTATGTGCATGTATATGTGTATGTATATAACTGTATATATATATATACATAATATCTGCCTTTGTGTATGTACTGTATTGTCCGTTCACTTATGGATACTATTTATGTTACATGCACATGTCAGGATCTGGGGCAGTACAGCCTTTTGGGCTTACGCTTTATAGAGGCTCAGTGCACGACTATTTCTCTACTGTGCCACTACAGCACTACAGTACTGCACTCTCCGACATGCAGCTTGACAGATGCTTAAAAGCCGTGGCTCCTTCTACAGTGACTCCCGACAACCTTCTGAAGAGCCTATCTGCCCCGACAACCCCAGGACCTATCTCCCTCCGCAGCACCACCCCCATACCTGGAAGGGCGCCGAGAAATGGTTGGGAAAGGGCCACTAATCTCACTAAATAGGCGCAACATTAATTGTCACAAGTAAAAGGGACAACCACCAATCACACGGCCCTTATAGCGACCGACCTGGTGTTGCCGCAGACAGGCCGTCCATTTCACCTCGTCCCACTTCTCCATCCTTACTTCGATGGTGCCCACGTGTGTGCAGGAACTTCTGGGGCTTTGGCACCCGCCCGGTGGCACCACTTGCTGCCAAGGCTCTCCATACCACATAACTCGTCCTACAGAAGCACATCGCTAGAAGAATTAAAGGAATTAAGGACATGGAGACAGCACGTGAGCTACGCGTGTTGCACTGTTTTCCGCGGTCCTGACAAGGTGGCTTCTGTATACTTGTGCACACTTACCTGAACCCCTTTTCAATAAGACCATATAAAAGTCAATCATAATGAGGAAGTCTAAACATGCAGGTTTCCTACAGTGTTCAAGTAGATTGTCACTACAGCAGCTGCGGTCCAAGGCTCCACCGCAGGTTTCTGGTCCTGGACTGCAGTGAGCAACCGAAACAGAAAGAGAGAGAAGGGAGGCGAAGCACCTCAACTTACTGCAGGGGCATCTGCGACTTCAGGACTACAACCTCGAACAACCGAGATTATACAAGCGTGCGTGTGCGCGTGCTGGTGCGTGTGTGCGGGTGCGAGTGCGTGCGTGTGTGTGTGTGTGGGTGGGTGGGTGGGTGGGTGGGTGGGTGGGTGGGTGGGTGGGTGGGTGGGTGCCTGTGTGTCTGTGTGTCTCTGTGTGTGTGTGTGTCTCTGTGTGTCTGCTTGTGTCTCTGTCTGCGTGTGTGTGTGTGTGTGTCAATGTGTGTGTGTGAGTGTCTGTCTGTATGTGTGTATGTGTGCGTGTGTGTATGTGTGTGTGTGTGTGTGCGCGTGTGTGTGTGTGTGTTTGTGTTTTTGTGTTGTTGTGCTTTTGTGCTTTTTTGCTTTTGTGGTTTTGTGTTGTTGTGCTT